TAACACATGGTTAAATAATATATAAAACATGCCAGGGACAAATTTTCAACAAAAACAACTATATTTTAATATATACAAATACTGTGATATAAAATAACTGGCATCATGTTATGAGAATTTCTTCATACCGCCTCTAGGTTTAAGTAAAGTTTGTATTTGTATTTACCACATGAAAGCCTGTTAAATAATCATTCTTCTTTAGTTTGTCAGATTAAAGTTTTTCTTTCAATCAAAGCAAAAGTTGTTTCTGAAGGGTTAATCGCCTCACCTGGTTTTGTAGCGTGCAGCACTCCCTTAATTCAAACACCACACCTTAATCTACATGACTGCAGTTAGCAACCAAAGCCGCAATTATTTCACAACAGCTGAGAAATTATTCCCCAGAGTGATGGCAAAACTTCACTGCATCAAATACTTCCTCTTTACAGGCAAAACACACCTACTCACCGCCAGACCGTACAGAAAACCTCTTTACGCATGCAAACTGTACTAACAACAAATAGAGAAATCCTTACGTTACACACAGCCACCCAAAACCATTCTCTAAACAACCGAAGAAAACCAGTGAAAACCATAAGCTTGCCTAAGGGAGAAAACAAGTTATGACCTAATACACTGTGCACTTGCACTGTCAAAATGTGTCATCTGAAAGTAGAACTCAGTGAATCACCAGCATTAAACCAAAACTCACACTAAACGCATGTTCCTGGATAATACAGGAAGAGTGGAATATGTTCTGCTGCTTTCAACAGGATTATTTTACACTTTCATTCACACACGACGCTGTGAAAGGAGAGCCACACTAATGCATGTAACTGGCAGCTAAAACCTCAGGCATACAATTTCACAAGCCAGACCAGAATTAAGGGCCGTCATTTTCAGCAGCAACACATGGAGCAAAGAAATGCCACAGCAATATTTTACTTCTATTTACCACAGCAGTGTTATGTGAGATAGTCTCAAACAGTTCATCTGTTGCTGTCAAAATGCTCGGTCACCTTTCACAAGGGGTAGCAAGCCATTAATATTAATTTGATTGTTTTATTTTAACATGAATTTTTTATTTATTTTTGCATTGAAATGCAGAGAATATAAATTAATTTTGTTTACAAATACATTATAATGTAATACAATTAGCTCATTTTAGCCTATATATATACTACAGAGTGGCCCAAAATATCTGGACACTCAAGTAGAGGTCGACCGATTGATCGGCCGGCCGATTACTGGCATTTTTTTAATTAATCGGCATCGGCCGATTGTGCTGCAAATTAGGCCGATTTATAGACAGGCGCATCTGCGGGCAGCTAAGCGTTGTTGCGGAACGCCGTACCGACAATCTCTCTCTGGCGGCGTGAGCAGCTCACACTCTGCAGCAGTGGCTAAACAGGGCAAAACAGACAGTTTTGAAAGCGTAGTTACGTTTTACCCTACTAGAATTGATGCCGACCATGCTTATCATATTCATAAGTGCAACAAGTAATTTGCATGTGAAAGTAGAAACACGTGCATTTCAGACGAAACTTCTGGTCTGACTATAACGTGCATGTTACCTTTCCTCATGAAATGTGTCTGTGGGTCTGACAATAGCCTCCACGATGATGAGTGAACTCTTTTATTTTTGTTATCACTTAGATTATGGCCATTTGACTTATAGCAGTGTCCAGTGTTTCCCATACATTGAGTTATTTGTGGCGGCTCGTCACAATATCAAAACTGACCGCCACAAATAGATTTTCCAAAAGGCTTATACTTCCTTGAATAAACTGAGCACAGCACGTTTCAAAATTAAAATACAGCGCGGTGCAATGCCTGATAAAGTAGCGTTTGTGAGCGCAGTGCTGATTTGATTACAGCCGTTACTGGGGAAACCGCTATATCTCCCACTCCAACAGCGCCTCCTGCTGGCAGAGGATCAATTTGCATTTGCAAGTCTGTGGGAATCACTGGTGTCTGTCAGCAAACATAAACAAAAAGCATGCTTCAGAACTGTTTTGAGAAGGTGCTTAAGTTTTGAGCCATGTATTATTACTATGAATTAAGCTACTACTACTATTACTATCTTGTATCCTGATGAAGGGGAAAAAAGAAAAAGAAAATCGGCCAAACATATCAGCATCATATATCGGCCATCGGCTGCCCTGCCCTGATTTCTAAATATCGGCATCGGCCAGAGAAAAACCCATATCG